TCTAGTTTTAGCAGTAAATGTCTGCTCTTTTATTTTTAAGGGAAAATGAGGACTGTGGGAAAAAAAACAATCACAATCCTGCCCTTTTATTAATACATATGAGGTTAGCAACTACAAGAGATAAAGAAAAACCCTAAACAAATAGCAGGACAATAACAATACTTTTATAAAAGAAAGATTGTGGCAATAACTTTTTGTAACTTAATGACTTGGCGGGCAGTATTTTCAATTCAATTCAGTTTATTTATTTAGCGCCAATTTACAACATTATTCACAACATATTTCTCCTCTACCACTGCCATAAAGCTTTTAAAGCTGGGCTTGTCGATCAAAGACAAGGGGAGTTTGCATGAAATAATAAGGTCTTGAATTATTGCCTTATGTCTGTGATGTCCCTGGCTGTACACCTGCACTTCACTGTGGCTGATAAAATTAGATGTGGTGGACCAAGCATCGTGTATTTTTTTCTAAAGAAGCTGCAGTTTGCTGCTCTTTTATTCCCGCCTTATGTAAAGTTTTTGTAGCCAAAGGTTATTATGAACGGTGGCACCGAAACAGGAGGGGTAATCATCGCTTCCATATCTGTATGGGTTGCATGCATGCATGCGCACGGGCATATATGTCACGTACTGTTGCGTCAGTGACGTCAGTATGTTGCACAGGGAAAAATATGATTTATGGTTTTCTTTCATTTAAATGTTAGTTTTATGCTTTGCATGTTTGGAGAGGAAGATATGATTTGTTTTTCTTTGTATTTTCTTCTTGAGCTTTGCATGTTTTGATGTTTCTTTTTTATATGATTGTTTTCCTTTATTTTAGACTTTTGAATTTTTCCTGCATGTTGGGTTGTTTTGGTTTGTTTTTCCCTTGTGACAATCCATGCGCACTGGACTGAAGTAGTTGTCTGAGGAGGCGGAGTGCATTAATTGCGCTGCGTAATTGCTGCGCTCAGGTGTGAGCAAGGGCTGATTAAAGCCGACATAAAAGGCGTCTGAAGGAAAGGAGAAAGAGAACGGAATCTGCAGGTGACAGAGACGGACGGGCTGCTGGGGGATCCGTGCGCCAGGAGGGTGCACAGATGGCCCAGTAAGGAGTATTAGGGCAGAGGAGGAACCTCGTCTGTAAGTAGCGCTCCCCCTCACTTAAAGCATAAACAGGAATATATCTTACCACGGGGTTTTGGCGCGTAGATGCTGGCGTTCTCCTTGCTTCTCTTTTTAGCTGGATCGGTCTGGAAAGGGGTGTGACACGCAAGGGAGTGTGCCGGGGCGCCGCAGAGTCATCTGTGGATCAACCAGTGGGTGCTCCAGGCCGATCACTCGCACTAGAAGCAGCATAACAAGCGGAGCACAACTTCCAGCCTCTGATTTTTAATGAAAACTCTTGAATTTTAGGTTTCATCAGGAGAAGAAAAGGACTGTTTTAATATGCCACTTTTGCTGTGGCTTTTTGTATAAATAAAACACTTGAACTTGAGTGCTTCACGGTTTGGGTCTTTGAGTTTTTTTTTTATTTATTTTTTTTTTTTTACCTCTTCTGTGTGCGGGTAAGGCGAGCGGCGATCAGTCAAGTTAGTAAAACAAAAAACACTTGAATAAGTGTTTTTACACTGGAATAATATATATATCTCAGTCGAGTCTGAAGTCCTTTAAATGCAAGTCTAAGTCGAGTCTGAAGTCATTAAATATGCGACTTAAGTGTACGAGTCACAAACTCGAGTCCCCATCTCTGCTGGCTGGTGACAGTTATTACACCTGAATCCAGATTTGATTACAGCTTCTTGTTTCTATTGGTTGGGCATCTTTTCATCGTTCAATTAACACTTTTAGGTTACATTTAAACTTCTGCATCAATTTCCAATATCTAACTGGGATGCAGACAAACTTTGGAGCGTCCCACATCAGTTTGTCTGATTAAATCAGATCATAAGATTATAAAAAGCTCCTCACTCTGATAAACATTCAGGATATTGTTGTAAAACTGTTCAGTGTTTATTATGTTAAATATGCTAAAAGCTGTTCATGTTAGGAATCCAGTGTGTGTGGGCTGCGTTTGTTTTTTGTGTTCTCTCCCTCCACCACCAGGTGGCGCCCTGTTCTCGTTGGTCCTCCCACACACCTGCGGCTGGTTGTGCTCATTACTGAGGACAGGGACGGATCTAGAAAAAAATGTATGGGCTGGCGAGAGGGGGCAGGAATTTTTGAGGGGTGGTAACATATGGCATTTGTTTATACCCGTGGTTCTCAAAGTGTGTGGCGCGACCCACTGGTGGGGAATTGAGACGTGACAGGTGGGGCGCGCCAAGTTCCGGTGTGTGTGTGTGTGACTATAAATGTAGAACGTGTGAGAGCAAACTGTCCTTATAGCTGTATGTTGCCGCTTTTTAGACCAATCAAACCCACAAAGTAATCATTACTAGTCTACATGCAGTCTAATTAAAAGAACATTAGAAAAATTTCACCTGGAACTGAAGTGCCAAAATAATGATTGACGTGACGTCGGCATATTATTTGTAACGGAATAAACTTTCGCGCCCCAGTGTTGCCAACTCAGCGACTTTGTCGCTATATTTCAGACCCCTCCAGCGACTCTTTATCAAAAAAGCGACTAGCGACAAATTTGTGACTTTTGGAGACTCTTACGTGAAAGCACGTATCGTTCCTTTTCTTGTCCTCCAGCGGCAGGTGCTGCCGTGGGGCGCCTAACCCATCCCCACCCCGTTCTCCCCCGCTATCACAGGAGTCCCTCTCAGCGCTGCAGAGACACAGCATGTTTACCCTCAGCGTCCAGACTGCAAATAAAGCGCACGTGCGCCGGGATTGACGGCGCAGGTTGATCATAAATAACTGAATTTGAAATATTTTATCTTAAATAAATAGGACCAGTTTATTGAAATGACGTCTGACTCCACCCTGAAGCTCAGGTTTAATGCTCAGACTAATAGTGAATTCTGGTTTGGAGTGGAGAGGGAGTATCCACTCATCGGGCAGAGAGCTGTGTGCATTCTTCTTCCCTTTGCCACATCATATCTCTGTGAGATGGGCTTTTCAGCTGTTGCTTCACTGAAAACAAAATACAGATCTCAGCTGAACATTGAGCATGACTTGAGAGTGGCAGTATCAAGCCTGCAACCCCGTTTTGAGAAACTGTGCAATGCAAAACAGGCTCATTGCAGCCACTAATGCAGGGATAAATAGACCTGTATTGCCAGATGGATTTCACTTCTTTTCTTTTATTAACAGATTGCAGAGTGGCACTTTAATTTTTTCTATCTTTGAGCTTGATACAAATTTTGACACAGCTGCATTTTTATTTTCTTTATTTTTGAGCTTGCTGTTATTTGATGTAGATAGTTTGTATTTAGATACTACTTGTTACTTCAATAAAATTGGAACATTTTAAGATTGTTGCATATTTCATTAGCATTGTGTTGGGGCGATGGGGACAGGCGGGGCTTGAAAATTCCCTCTTGTCCAAAGTGGGGAATGACAGAAAAAGTTTGAGAACCACTGGTTTATACTGAATTTAATCACAGTTATCACAGTTTTCTGAGAATAGTGTGTAAAGTAAGTGTTTCATGTGAAACAGTTCATATTAGAAATACATCGTACAATGTGATCTCACTTTCTGTCATGATGGGTCTCTGTGTTTAAACCCACATGCAGAACACCACAGGAAACGGGGTAAAAGTTTAACAGTTTATTTGAGAGTAGGGATGCACCGATGCCGATACTGGTATCGGCACCTGGCCCGATACCACGTGTTTGTACTCGTACTTGTATCGGTAAATGTGTGCCGATACTAGCATAAATTTCAAGCAGCGAAGAAGACCGCAGTGTGACGTCAAGAACCTGCCAGCCAGAGTATAGAGAAGGAGGGAGCGAACACAAAAAGAGAGTTAGCATGTCCGCTATTTGGAAATATTTCCAAGTGAACGAGGATGACAAAAGTAAGGCTGTTTGCAAAATATGCAAATCAAAGTTTTCAAGGGGAGGAACAAACCCTAATAGTTACAACACAAGTAACCTAATAAAACATCTTAAGACGCAACATGATGCCGAATACAAGGAGTTCTCTCACGGCGGTGGGAAACTACAACAACCAACTTTGCCGCAAACGCTGAAGAAGCGGGAGAAGATGTCCAGAGACAATCCACACGCAATGAAGATAACAGAAGCTCTTACCCAATACATTGCCCTGGATGACCAGCCATTATCCGTCGTTGAAAATATTGGATTCCGAAGTCTTCTGAGTGTACTGGAGCCGAGGTATGAAATTCCTAGTCGCCAATACATTACTGACGAAACTATATGACTTTGTGAAAAGACATATTCAGAGCCTTTTGCAAGATGTCTCAGCGATTAACTTGACAACTGATATCTGGACGAGCAGCGTTAGCCCGGTGTCACTCATTAGCCTAACTGCGCAATGGGTTGACAAAGATTTTACCCTGCAGAGGGCTGTCTTGCATGCAAAACAATTTCGGGGATCACACACTAGCCAAGCCATTGCGGATTTGTTTGATGAGATGCTCCGGAAGTGGGGCGTTCCCAAAACTTTGATTCATGTTGTGCTACGTGACAATGCTAAAAACATGATAAAAGCCATGACGGATGCCGGACTTCAGAGCCTTCCATGTTTCACGCACACACTCCAGCTGGTGGTTAACGAAGGGCTTCTGGTCCAGAGGAGTGTGACTGATGCTGTCGCTATCGGCCGGAAAATCGTAAGACATTTTAAACACTCCACGTTAGCTTACTCACGGCTGGAAGATATTCAGCTGCAGCTCAACCAACCAACAAAAAGATTGCAACAGGATAGTACAGACCCGGTGGAACAGCACATTTTACATGATACAGTTTCTCATTGAGCAGAAGCGTGCTCTTGGAATATATAGATCTGAAAACGAGCTTCAGAGAATCTCGCCGCTCACCAGTGGGCACTTTTGGAAAAAACTGTCGCTGTTCTGGCTCCGTTTGAAGAGCTTACAAGAAAAGTAAGCTGCTCTGATGCATTAGCATCAGATGTGATCCCTGCTGTGACTGTGCTTCTCAGAATCCTGAACAGAGAAACTGATGATGATCAGGGTATCAAAACAATGAAGTCGACCTTAGCTGCAGCTGTGAAGAGGCGCTTCACTGACATGGAGAAGATCCCCCTCTACTGCATTGCAACTCTACTGGATCCAAGGTAAAAGTCTGCCCATTTTTGTTTAGCATATTAGAATATGATCAAAACAGAATCAATTAAGCTAAAGCGTTTTGAAAAATGTAATTAAACATTTATTTAGAATATTGCAATTGCACTTATGGCATTTAACATACAGTACTACACAATAAGCTTACTTTAAGTTACAAGATATGATTTACAAATTTTTACCTAACAATTTAAACACTAGCCTATCCATAAAAAGGAATTTTTTTTTTTTTTTTTCTGTTGTAGGTACAAAGATCGTTTTTTCTCAAACGTCAACACTGCCATGGATGCCAAAGAAATGCTGAAGGTGGAGTTGCAGAGTGTGAATACAGGAGAGCCAAAGGAGAATCTTGAAGAGCCACCCGCCAGAAGGCTTCGTATGACACAAGCTAGCAGCAGTCTGGACAGAGTTTTTGAGGAGATAACGGAAGAACAACAGTCATCTTCAACAAGCCATGCCACCCCAGTGGGTGCTGCCATTCAGTTAGAGACCTACCTTGGAGAGACTACAATTGCTCGAGAAGAAAACCCACTGCAGTTCTGGGGTGTTAATAAAATTCGGTTTCCTGCTTTGGCTAAAATGTCCCAGAGGTACCTCTCAGCTCCATGTACCAGTGTAGAAAGTGAGAGACTTTTTAGCTCAGTTTCACACATCATAAATGAAGAAAGAAACAGATTAAATGCAGAGATGTTGCTTTTCATCAAGAAAAACATGCCCCTCACTTTCTTAAAATAGATTCCAACCTAAAAGACAAGCTTTACAAAAAGCATTATGTAATTAATCAGTTGCACATTCACAGTTTGTGTTCATTATATGTTCAGTTATATGTTTAATTTGCCTATAGGTAAAAACTGTGACAAGGCTGTTAAAACTATTCAGTAAATGTTAAAATCTATGTTAAACTAACAGGGTTGGTTAGACTAAAAGTGATGTTCTATATCTTAAAATATAAAAAGAGGACAGATGTATACAATTAAAATACACAAGTGTATTTCTGTTTGAGCCAAATGAAAATAAAAATTTTTCAAATTAATTCTGAGGAGTTAATGGCACTTAATATTACTCGGTATCGGTACTCAGTATCGGCAAGTACTGAAGTTGAAGTACTTGTAATCATACTTGGTTTGAAGAAATCTGGTATCGGCACATCCCTAGTGGAGGATGCTCTTTTTCTGGTTGGATTATCAAAATAAGTGGTCCTCCAAATTGTCAATCATTCTGGGGATATGTTTATGTAAATAGCTTTATTTGACTGTATATATCTGTTTTAAGAAAGGGGCAAATGTTATATTTTATGCCACCCTGCGCCACAGAGCTTACAGCCACTCACATGGGGCGTCACTGTGTTGTCTCAACAACAATCGCTTTCTTATTCCATTAGAAAGAAGAAGCAGCTCCATTCTTGTTTATACCCCCCACCTTTAATAAAGGCACCTTCCACAGCTGCAAGTGGGACTTAATTGCTTGTGAGATTTGATTGTTAGAGGTTAGCACAGGCGTAACTTTCTGAAGGACTAGTGGGGATCTAGTCTGGCATCTCGGTCTAACATCATCGGATCTGTTGCTTTAATAATGTGATTTGCAGTCGCATTTCAGTGCTTAGAGAGTAGCTACATGGAGGAGGAGCAGCACTCAGTGAATATTAACCAGCAGCTACTTTGATGTTCAAGTAAAAGTTAGGAGACGGGTTGTTTAAAATAATTAGAGATCATACCACTGAAAAATCTTTTCATAAGACATGCACAGTTCTTTCAGCTAAAATGGCAACAGAGGTGCATCTTTCTTCTTTTTTTGTTTTTGTTTATGAACTTTATTTTAACAAAGTAAGTACAAACAAGTAAAGCAATAGCAACAGTACAATTCTGTGGAGGACATAGAGGTAAATTTCAAAATGGAAATACAAAGTAACATTGATAAGGAAAAAAAAGAATAAGTGAATGACAATGAAACAATAATTAACATGGCAACAAGGGGATTGCTATGTTAGGATTGATGTACATCAGTGGGCAATCCCATTAGTATTTCAGTCAGGTATTCGTATGATTTGATACATTTAAGAGATTTCAAATATTGCATCCTTCTTTTTACCCGATTATAAGGACAGGTCTGGTGTATCCAGCGTAGCCTTGGATATCCCATGATTCATTGCAACTACAAGCAAGCGTGCTTCTCCGTGCTCAGAGGAAAGCAGTACTTGGCGCCGAACAGTGGTGAATATTGAAAGTGCAGTTTGATATAAAAAATATATGTAAATGGTTCTGTCTGAAATAAATGAAAATTGTTTTTAGAATGTTTATTTAGGAAGATATGTGGTGTATAAGTTCTGGTTTATTGAAAGGTTATTATCTGTCACTGTGTAAATGGGTCTGGCTCTCATCTAAGGGCAGATTCTAATATATTCACAGGGTGGGGTCTATAAATCTGATACGGTACTGCTGTTTTACCTCCTCAAATATGTTATTAAGACCCCGAACAGCAGTGTGAAGGGATGGACAGTTATTGTCACTGGAATGATTTAAATAATAAATATAATGCCTAATTCTCATCCCAGGAATATGGAAAATGTATAAATTATATTAAAAACATTGATCAAGTTCATTGATTTAGTTCAAGATTGCCTCAGTAATATTCCAGTTCCTAAACTAAAAAATACATTTATTGAAGGAATCAATGTAATAGACAAAAAATGCAAAAACATTTTTTTGAGAAAAGTGTCAACAAATATCTTCCCAATCCAATTAAAATACTTTTCCTATTAGAGAATCCTCCAAAAATGATATCCGTGCATTGAGAATTAAATATCTTAAATTTGTTATTCTACCTAAATATAAAAGATTAATTTCAACATTCTAAATGACAATTATCCTTCCAACCAATGCAAATACTTCAAATTTAAATTCACCATAGACAAATGTCCTCCATGTGAGCAAGAAGAGGAATGAACTGAACAATTTTTGTTGTTGTTGTTGTAGTAAAACCCAAACATTTTTGTCCTCAGTTCATAACTGGCTACTCTCTAAATCCTTAAACATTAATTTTCTCAAGGAAAGATAAAGACATTTAAAAATGAAATAAATATACTTTAAAGAAAATGTATTCCACCAATGCTAAAAGATTGTATGCTTTCTGTCCAAATGTCATTCTTAATTACCCCTTACATCTTATGTTCTTTATCTTTTTCAGTATAGTGATTGTTCCTTGTCAATGTTTAGCTTCCCTTCTCTTCTCTTTTAATAATTTTTTATTGCTATTTTGCACAGTATGGTTAACTAAATATGTTTTGTTGTTGAATATAAGAGATTTTGTGGATATATCTTTTATACTGATATAAAAAACATATTTCAGCGCAGATACGGGGAATGTGGGATTTAGGGGTCAGAGTCAACAAAAAAAAAAGACATGTTAGAACCAATCAGATAACTACACTTGTAATCTGAGTAGAACCAACACCCGCTGGAGGTAAAAGCTCATTGGCTGCAGCGTCTCTGCCCTTACATGTGATCAGAGCTCAAACCTGTTTCTGTTTTCAGGAAATGAAACTCATACAGTCGCTGTGACTGAGAGGAGAAATGGAGCAGAATCAGCTGGACCAAGAAACCTTCTCCCGTTCAATCTGTCTGGATTTACTAAAGGATCCGGTGGCTATTCCCTGTGGACACAGCTACTGTATGAACTGCATTAATGCACACTGGGATGAAGAGGATCAGAAAGGAAACCACAGCTGTCCTCAGTGCAGAGAGACCTTCACACAGAGGCCTAATTTGAAAAGGAACACCATCTTAGCAGTTTTAGTAGAGCAGCTGAAGAAGACTGGACTCCAAGCTGCTCCTGCTGATCACTGCTTTGCTGGACCTGAAGATGTGGCCTGTGATTTCTGCACTGGAAGAAAACTGAAAGCCATCAAGTCCTGTTTAGTCTGTCTGGCCTCTTACTGTGAGAAACACCTTCAGCCTCATTATCATGTGGCTCCACTGAAGAAACACAAACTGGTGGAGCCCTCCAAGAACCTCCAGGAGAACATCTGCTCTGATCATGATGAGGTGATGAAGATATTCTGCCGCACTGATCAGAAATGTATCTGTTATCTCTGTTGTTTGGATGAACATAAAGACCATGACACAGTGTCAGCTGCAGCAGAAAGGACTGAGAGGCAGAGAGAGCTGGAGGAGAGACGAGGAAGAATCCATCAGAGAATCCAGGACAGAGAGAAAGATGTGAAGCTGCTTCAACAGGAGGTGGAGGCCATCAATCACTCTGCTGATAAAACAGTGGAGGACAGTGAGAAGATCTTCACTGAGCTGATCCGTCTCATCCAGAAAAGAAGCTCTGATGTGAAGCAGCAGATCAGATCCCAGCAGGAAACTGAAGTGAGTCGAGTCAAAGAGCTTCAGGAGAAGCTGGAGCAGGAGATCACTGAGCTGAAGAAGAAAGAAGCTGAGCTGAAGCAGCTCTTAAACACAGAGGATCACAACCAGTTTCTCCACAGCTACCCCTCACTGTCAGCACCCAGTGAGTCTACACACTCATCCAGCATCAATATCCATCCTCTGAGACACTTTGAGGATGTGACAGCAGCTGTGTCAGAGCTCAGAGATAAACTACAGGACATTCTGAGAGAAACATGGACAAACATCTCAATCACAATCACTGAGGTGGATGTTTTACTTTCAGATCCAGAACCAAAGAGCAGAGCTGGATTTTTGAAATATTTTTGTAAAATCACACTGGATCCAAACACAGCACACACTCAACTGTTGTTATCAGAGGGGAACAGGAAGGTAACAGTGATGCAACAACATCAGTCTTATTCTAGTCATCCAGAAAGATTCACTGACTGGTGGCAGGTTCTGAGTAGAGAGAGTCTAAATAGACGTTGTTACTGGGAGGTGGAGGGGAAAGGAGGAGTTCGTGTTGCAGTCGTATACAAAAATATCAGCAGAGCAGGAAATGGAAATGGATGTAAGTTTGGATGGAACGAAAAATCATGGGCATTAGATGTTTCCCAAGATGGTTACAAATTTGGTCACAACAACATCTGGACCTCCATCTCAGCTCCTTATTCCTCCAGGATAGGAGTGCACCTGGATCACTCAGCAGGTATTCTGTCCTTCTACAGCGTCTCTAAAACCATGACTCTTCTCCATAGAGTCCAGACCACATTCACTCAGCCGCTACATGCTGGACTTTGGGTTTACTGGACTGGAAACTCTGCAGAGATCTGTAAACCAATATAGATTTTCTGTCCATTTTCACATTGTTGATTTGAGGTTTTGGTTCTTATTTCTCTGCTGTTCTTTCATTTATTATTTATTTTTAAATTTGGTACTCTAACTTTGTTACAGGAGCTGCAAAGTATATAACTTCTGTTTTCTTTCATTCTGATATGACACCGAAATATATCTCCTCATAAAAATCTAAACTTCTCTGGGCTCTTATTATTCTATTTTACTATTTGCATTGATGAATTTGGATATTATAGTTCATTTTTCACTGCAATGCAGAATAAATTATGTTCCTGTACAAATCCAATGAGAATGAAATTAATTGAACTTGCTTCAGGTTCCTTTATTCCAAAACAGAAAAGTGAACTAACATCAACTTAAACTGATGCTGTTTTCTTTTAAATCCTTTAGATTTAGATAAAAAATATTTGATGTGCTGTTCTGTTTCTTTGGCTTCAGGATAGAATGCTCACTATTTTGTCTCAAGAAATATTATTACAATTTTGGGGAACTGCATGAAAAAACTCAAACAATAAACCATTTTGGACTAACACTTTAACCAGTTTAATTAAAATTAAAATAGTAATGGCCTTTGTATTGGCCAGCCTGTTGTCCTCATCTCTTTGAAAAGCTTGAAGACATTTAACTCATCCTATGAAAACCGCACTACACCTTCAGTCCAGGAGGTAGCGCTATTCCCAGTACCTTTAGATTAATTATAAAAGGTTTATTCCCTTTAAAAACACATTTTTACTTATTTCAGCTAATATAGTAGAAAAACAACTTAGAGTTTTGTAGTTGATCAATTCTTAGGTTGTACTGGATCTGTAAGAAAGTTTTTTATAGTCAATTGCATTTCCTTTTCAAACTGTTGTTTCTGTAAAGCTGAAAAATTTATTTTTAGAAAATTGTAAAAACAGATTAGCAGATTAGATATCCACAGAGCAGAAAAGGTTTATATATGTATATGTGTACACTTGTGAACTTCTAGCTGCAAATGTCATGAAAGCTGTACAAAATGATATTTGTTTTGTATACACTCTGTGTATACAAAATGAAAAAAGTTGTCTAAGTCTAAGTAGTATTACTTTAAGAGCCCTCTGCTTCCTGGAATCCAAGCCTGATATTCCTCCCATCTCTTCCTACCATCAAACTCAGCTCGAAGCTGGATGGAACCAACCCCTGCTCAGGGTAAATGTATTTTTTGCTGCAGGTTCTCGGCACTGACATGCAATCAGAGAAAAAACCCTGTAGTTGTGTTTCTTGACATATAAAAAGCATACAATGCAATTTTGGGAGACGGTTTGCTCATAAAACCTAAACAAAATTGCATCAATGGTCAAATGTTTAACTATATAAAACTTCTTTATCAGAAGGACAGATACAGTTGAATATTGGGTGAACCTATTCAAATAGATATTTCATTGAACATTGGATTCCACAATTGAGCATAGTGATTCCCCTATTATTTTCATTAATGCTAAATTACTTGTTTCATTGTATAATTATGGGGGTTGGACATTGTGGAAAAGAGAGAAAAATACATATATGGACTGTTGTAATCTTTAGAATCGGAAAGTCCACAAAATGTAGGTAAAACTCTCCAACTGATCCAAAATTCTGCAGTTCTGATGCCAATAAAAAAAAAAAACTTCTTATTCCTATTTTAGCTATTCTGCTTCTCTATTCTCCCATCCTGCAACATTTGTTAGTTCAATCTCTAACGTTATGCTCTCTTTGCTTTTTTAAATCATAGTAGCTTTATCTGGTCTGTTCCTGTTTGGCTATGACTTTATCCTGGAGAGAAATATCTGCTGTGCTGCTGCCATCAACACCTTTGGGCTTTTTTCATTTTTTTTTTTTTACTGTGACTGTGCTCTCTTTAATCCTCTGACAAGAATTTTGACATGGTGCTTCTCTACTTAGCTGTCTTTCCTGGACGGAGCCAGCTGTGGAGCTGACCAACTTTTTGTAACTCTGCTTCTTTCTCTGCTTCTCTCTCCTTGAACCCCAGTCAGCATCGACAGATAGCCACTCTCTGAGCCTGGTTCTTCTGGAGGTTTCTTTCTGTTCCTCTTTACTGTCGCTGCATGCATGCTTGGTGTGAAGGATTGCTGTTGAATCAATGAATCAATTTATTCAGTTGGTTTTCTTCAGATAAAATACTTTGAACCAATCTGACTATATTGTCTTTGTAAAGTACATTGATATGAAATGTGTTGTGATTTTGCACTATATACGTTAATCAACTGAATCGAACTGCATACTTATAAATGTAAAAAGAAATAACGCATTATGAGATGTCTAATTGGAAGAGACTGGGAAACAGTGAAAATCAGATAGTAAGGGTATATCTGGGGTGTGCAGGTGACACAGTGGTTAGAGCGCATGACCCATGTACAGAGGTTTAGTCCTTTACATGGCTGACCCGGGTTTGAATCTGACCTGTGGTCCTTTGCCGCATGTCTCTCCCACTCTTTTATTTTCTTTTTCCTCAATGTGCCACTAGTGCCATAAAAACTCACAGAAAATAATTATTGGGGTATTTAAAACAACACATTCATCATCTTTAATGTAGGTTTGGAGAGCCACCATTGAGCCTAACAAGAGATTAGCTTTAAACTATTGTGCAAATTTAATAGGACATGAACAAAACCATTCAATACAAGAAGTTCTAAAACCATCCTGGGAAAAAGACAAAAAACAGACCTAAAAAAATGCTTGGAACTTAAATCATAAAATTTCAGAAATTCAGAGCGATAGTTCAGGTATTTCTAGAATAAAATAATACAAATGCATCACAGAATATAAAAGATCAAATTGGTGCAGCTTACATTATTCCTCGGTTTTGAGTAAAACTGGTATATAAGGAAGAGAATAAGTGATAATAATTTATCAGTATAGTCAGGAAAAATGGTAGAACTATTTGCTCTATACTGGATCAAAGATGATCAGCCGATGAGATCAAAAGCATACTAATATTTTAGCTAATTATTAATTGGTATAAAAAAAGATACTCAGAAAGCAGACCAGACATCTGAATAGAAATATAAAAACAGTAATTAGAATTAATATGATGGGATCAATTGTTACACTGGCATGGAGCTCATAGAGGTAATCAGCAGACAAATCACAAAAGAGGCAACCAGACACATTTCAGATGAAATAGATATCAAGGTCAGCTAACTGAAAGTTAAAGGTTTCATTAAGAAGAAAATAAGGGACAGATGGTCAAAACAATGGGAAAAAGAAAGATGAGAAAATTCATTTGATAGAATTCAGCCAAGAATGGGAAAAATGTCGAGCGATGAAAGAAAACGGAGGGAATAAATATTTTAATACGTGTCACGTTTAAAAAGCACCCTATTTGTCACAGGTAAAAGTGATTAATGTAGGGAAGATGAAGCTATTTAGTCACACTATCAGAAGTATAGTATAAGAAGAATTCAGCTGATTATTAACTATCTCTTCACACATAAAATAAGATTATGTTCCTTTGTTCTTTTTTTCTTTCAAACTTTAATATTTCATCTTAAAATTTGTTATTTATTTGAAAGATTAAATGAGGGGTTTAATCCTGTCAAAACTCCATACCAGCTGATGGCGGTAATGCGCACCTACAGTCATCTGTGCACCGCCATTAAATTAGAGAAGAAGAAGTTGGTCCCTGCTATTTTATACTGATGAGAGTTAGTTATCTCCACAGATATCTTGACTGGCATCGGTTGGTGGTGAGGAAAAAAACAACATGATATATCTTAGCTGCTTTATTTGTCTGTAACCAGAATCAGGCCCAGTAGATAAAAAGGAATAAACTAGAAGACAGGAGTTCATTTATTCCACTTCTGACTCGGTGAGCTGAGTGACCGTTAGCATGGCTAAATGAAGGAGCTAACGTTTCGGTCTGACTCATTGCTCACACTAAACCCTGCATTTCTCTATGAAGGTGAGGAAGAATGGGCTCTATGCACAGCTCCACTACTTCCTGAATTTAATGCAGCTCCTTTGTTTCCTGTCTTTCATTACTGGACGAACTGATTAATCCAGGTGTGTCTGGCCAGTTACTTAGGTCATACACACCTGGATTAATCAGTGCATCCAATCATGAAAGACAGGAAACAAAGGAGCTGCATTAAATTCAGGAAGTAGTGGAGCTGTGCATAGAGCCTATTGCACTTAACGGTTTGAATGACCGTTTTTCAAATGTTACAATGTAAAAAAAATAAATAAATAAAACTTCAACCTTCCCAGAAGTTGAGTAAAATATGAATATTTTGATAATTACAACGGACAATAACGTTGTTGTTTTTTAAGCACAGGCTCGCCTTTATTTTCGTCTACTTTACATTATTTACGCAATAAAAGAGTGAAATTTAACTCAGAACATTAAATAAGAACGTTCAAGTGATAGAGGATGCATATATACACATTAGAATATACAAAACCACATTTGGGGGGTTATAAGCCTAGCTGGATCCAAATGCAAAATGGGGAAAAAAAAAGGCTTTTTAAAAGAAAAGAAAAAATATTTAGAAATACTAATATATATATGTTTTCATTTTTTTCACTATTTTGAAAGAGGATAAAAAACTAAAAATAATTCAAGAAACAATAAAAAATGTGACTACTTCCATTTTTGTTTTAAATATATAAACATCAGAAGGAAAAACATAAACTATCATCATCATCAGAACATTTTAGCATATTTAAAATCTGAAAGGTTATAACCATAAACATAAGACCACAATACTTTTGAAAAAAAAAAATACATACAATCGAGGCAATCTGTAATTTTAAGTGTTTAGGTTCCTATTTCAAATTTGAGTCTCCTTTTTAAAATTTATTACCAAGTTATATTTAGGTTGGTGTTTTAAATTTAGTTTCTTAAACGACTGGATAAATGGGCAGTTTAATAAACGTAATATTCCATTGAGGGTCACTGTTCCTAAATGTGATGTTTTCCTGTTCAAGGTCCTTATTTATCATCATTGAATAGAAAATGTTTTACTGGCTGATTAATTACTAAACCATTCATTTATTTTCAAGTTTACATTCAAAATATTTTATTTTTATTTTGAAAGCTTGTGCTCTGCCAGGGTCTGAGCACAAAAAGCCTTACTTCATTCGTCTCAATAGAATCTTTGGCTAAACTTTGCAGTGATTACTGGTAGTGGTTATTGCTTCCAATTTTATTCACATGTTTTTGCCAGACTGCATAATCAAAGTAAACATCTGCGCTGTTTCCCCCCACGGTCTGAATGCCAAATACTTAAAATATTTTATCAGTAAAACTCTTTTAATTGCTGTCTGTCTTTGTGTGAGTTTTTCAGGTTGAACTGACACAAGATTTGCTGATCAGCTCCAACACTTTTTTTCTGCTTTCAGGAAGTAAAACTCACAGAGGTACTGCAACCGAGAGGAGAAATGGAGCTGCAGACAGTTCAGTTTGACCAAGAAACCTTCTGCTGTTCCATCTGCCTGGATCTACTGAAGGATCCAGTAACTATTCCCTGTGGGCACAGTTACTGTATGAGCTGCATTAAAAGACACTGGGATAAAGAGAATCAGAGAAGAATGCATAGCTGCCCTCAGTGCAGAGAGAACTTCACTGAGAGGCCAGTTATAAAGAAGAACAGCATGTTAGCAGCTGTACTGAAACAACTGAAGACGACTGGACTCCAAGCTGCTCCTGCTGATCACTGCTATGCTGGACCTGAAGATGTGGCCTGTGATTTCTGCACTGGAAGAAAACTGAAAGCCACCAAGTTCTGTTTGGTCTGTCTGGCCTCTTACTGTGAGAAACACCTTCAGCCTCATTATGATTCAGCTACATTTAAGAAACACAAGCTGGTGAAGCCCTCCAAGTACTTCCAGGAGAACATCTGCTCTCGTCATGATGAGGTGATGAAGATATTCTGCCGTACTGATCAGAAGTGTATCTGTTATCTCTGCTCTGTGGATCAACATAAAGGCCATGACATAGTGTCAGCCGAAGCAGAAAGGACTGAGAGGCAGAGAGAGCTGGAGGAGAGACGAGGAAGAATCCAGCAGGGAATCCAGGACAGGGAGGAAGATGTGAAGCTGCTTCAGCAGGAGGTGGAGGCCATCAATCACTCTGCTGATAAAACAGTGGAGGACAGTGAGAAGATCTTCACTGAGCTGATCCGTCTCATCCAGAAAAGAAGCTCTGATGTGAAGCAGCAGATCAGATCCCAGCAGGAAACTGAAGTGAGTCGAGTCAAAGAGCTTCAGGAGAAGCTGGAGCAGGAGATCACTGAGCTGAAGAAGAAAGAAGCTGAGCTGAAGCAGCTCTTAAACACAGAGGATCACAACCAGTTTCTCCACAGCTACCCCTCACTGTCAGCACTCAGTGAGTTTACACACTCATCCAGCATCAATATCCGTCCTCTGAGACACTTTGAGGATGTGACAGCAGCTGTTTCAGAGCTCAGAGATAAAATGCAGGACATTATTCGAGAAACATGGACAAACATCTCATTAATGCTGCCTGAGGTGGAGGTTTTACTTTCAGGACCAGAACCAAGAAGTAGAGCAGGGTTCTTAAAATATTCATGTAAAATCACACTGGATCCAAACACTGCACACCCAGAGCTGGACCTAACAGAGGGGAACAGGAAGGTGAGATGGAGGAGTAAAGCTCTGACTTTTTGTAAAGACCCAGAAAGATTCACTACTTGTTGTCAGGTTCTGAGCAAAGAGAGTCTTACTGGATGTTGTTACTTTGAGTTAGAGTGGAAAGGGAGACTTCATGTAGGAGTCTCTTACAAGAGCATCAGCAGAGCAGGAAGTTCGAATGAATGTCATTTTGGATCTAATGACAAATCTTGGGCATTAATTTGTAACCATACCGATTCCATTTTTTGTCACAACAACGTCTGGACCTCCATCTCAGGTCCAGTATCGTACAGAATAGGAGTGTATCTGGATTATACCGCAGGTATTCTGTCCTTCTATAACATTTCTGAATCCATGGTTCTCCTCCACAGAGTCCAGACCACATTCACTGAGCCACTATATGCTGGACTTTGGGTTTGGAATTACTGCAGATTACTGTAAACCAGAACAAAATTACAATTATATTACAAATGCAATGAGTTGTTCAGCCCTAGTGCCAGCTCACAACACATCTAATCGTTCTGATATCCATATTGATGTATTTGGATATGCTGGTTTTTCTTTTACTGTTCTGCAGAACAAATGTTGTATAAATCTGTTGAAAATGAAGTGAACTTCATTGATGTTCAAATGAGGAAAACTAAATCTGGAATTAATTCAAACCTGAAACTGTTTTATTCTAAATCCTGTAGATTAAAATCAGATTAAAAAAAACACGTCTACTGTTCTGTTTCTTTGGCTTCTCAATAAAACAACTAGGCTACAGAGAAATGTCATTCATTACTTTTATATATTGGGAGTTATGTGGTCTAAAGTGCAGACTGCACTAGAGTTGAAAGTGTTAGATCTGTGTTAGTATGTGACTGGGTAAATGTATATTGTTTTAAGTGCATTGAATGTTCAGTTTCTGCATTTTATTAGCTCAGTCCATTTAAGATGCAAACCTGGTGGGTTTAGATCAGGGCTAACCAATTGAAAATCAGCAGGGTCCAAATAAAGAAAATCTACAACCAGTAAAGGTCAGGAGACATTTTTAATTATCTGTTACTTTAAGCAGAATTTAACACTGAAATAAAATGAGGGGTTTTTGCATCCATGTTATACAGTTAATTTTTAAATAAAAATACATACAAAAATTTTTCCTTTTTGAAATCTAAAGTGTTTTTTGGAGTAGAGAACAACAATCTTTCAGTTTGACATATAGACAGTTTCCTGATTCACATATTTTATAAAACACCTTAACTGACCGCTAGATGTCGCTAAAAGTTACACACTGTAGCTTTAACTAGTTCACCGCGCTTTTTCCAGCAGTCCACACCGTCTCTGCTTTCTTTTTTCATCGTCTTCTCCTTCTTTCCCATTGCCCAGCTTGCCACAGGTTTGCCTGCTGTGTCTAAAAGTGACTTGCAGCGCAGCCCTGACTGACAGCTCAATGGCTAATTTATATCATGTGTAGCCTGGTGCCGGGCACTCCGGAGGGCTTTACCATACAAACAGGAGAAGCAGCGCAAGTGAAGTTCGACACTTGTTGGACAACATGCTGTCATTTAAAGATGTTTTAAATCAGGTTGGGTCTGGATATAGACCCCGGTCCGCTAATCTGGACCTCTGGTTTGGAGGAAAGGTGAGGATAGTCTGTTCATGTGTTGCCAACCTCCATTTGAAAATACACGTGTAAACCATTTTTACCCTCAGTGTTTAAAGAAAACAAAACCCCACAATGTTTGCAGAGATGACTTGAATCTGTCAAAATAAATTAAAATTATATGATAATGAACAAATATATGTCAGATAGTAATTTTCAACCATGCTTTAATAGAACAATAAAAAAAATGAACTCATGAAACAGGCCTAAACAATAAAGATGGCAGCCTTAATTCAAAACTGTTGCACAACTTTTAAATACAAACACTGCAATTAGACAATTCTTGTAGCCGTCAATGAGACTTCTGATTCTCTCAGCAGGTGTTTTGGCCCATTCCTAATGAGCAAACTGCTCCACTTGTCTCAGTCTTGAAGGGTTTCCAGATGACAAGTTTCAACTTCTTCCCAAGATGCTCAATAAGATTTAGGTCAGGGCTCAGAAAAGGCCACTTTAGAATAGTCAAATGTTTTGCTCTTAGCCATTCTTTTAAGATTTCAGTGTTTTGTTTTGTTTTTTTTGGTCATTTTCCTGTTGAAGACCCATGACCTCTGACTGAAACCAAGCTTTCTGACGCTGGGCAGCACATTTCTCTCTAGAATTCCTGAGTAGTCTTCAAATATAACTGAACCCTGCAGAGCAGTACCAGGGCATAACAGAGCCTCCTCCATGTTTCTCACTAGGGACAGTGATCTTTTCTTGACATGCTTCATTTTTCTGTCTGGGAACACCGCTGTGCTTTGGTTAAAAAGTTCAATGTTTGTTTTGCCTGTCCGGAGGACTCTCCCAGAAGCTTTGCGGCTTGTCATGTTATTTGGTAAATTCCAGTTTGGCTTTTTTATGATTTGTTTTCAGCAATGTTGTCCTCCTTGATCGTCTCTCATTAGGTCCACTTTGGCTCAACAGTCAATTAAAAGCCTTTCTGTTAAACTTAGAACAGCTGTCTGCAAAAACACAGCTGAGCAGAGAGAATGGCCACATGGATAATTATAAAGTCTGTGATGTAGTCTACTATAATACTTTTAAAAATAACAGTGCTTGACTGTACATATAAGTAGTTTAATACGAAAGAGTAGCTCCTGTCCTTCATGTTTCAGTCAAGTTAAAGTAAAAAGAAACCATGGAAGAAAGGTAAAACGGATTCTAAGGTACAGAGTATCTGATGATCTTATTTAGCCTTTCAAAACTTTTTAGATTTTACACAAAATAGTTTTTTTTGCAAATGAAGGGGTTTTAGACACAAATTAAGATATAAATATATAACATGATTATACAAAAACAATTTCAGATGGGCAAAACTTCCAAATAAAATTCTTTACAGAAAACTTAGTAAACTAGTATTTAATGTATAAATAGTTTAGAAAAGGGTTTATTTACTTCACCTGAAAGTATGCAGTATAAGGTTTCCTGTGTGATCACCTGACTTCCAAATGACACGGCAGAATCAGAAGATAGAAAATAAAACTTAAAAAATGAAGCTTGAGCACAGAAAAATATCACTCAAAAAAATAAATGCAGGTTTGTTGATTTCTGGTGTATTTTTTTTCAAGAAGTTTGTTCTTTGTTATAATCTCTTAATGGTGTTCAATACCAAGACAGACCATCAGCCAAGCTCCTTCCAAGTCATTAATAGACATAAAAAATGGAGTAAAACTGTTAAACACAAACAACTGAGAATGATAGAATAGAAATTAGTAAAATGATTTACATTCAGCTTCACATATTAGAATGTTTTCACGTATTGTATGTAAAGATGAGCTTCCTAATATTGTCTTGTGTAACAGAAGATACAGCCTTGCACCTTGTTAATTAACTTGTCATAAAGCTCCCTCCAGCTCTCCTGCAGTATTCAGTCAGTTCCATGAGATTTTCAATAAAAAAAATATATTATAATACACAAACTTAGTCCTGTTTACATAAGTCAACATATAGCAATAAGAAAAATATTCTTACAGGTGTTGCTTTGAATAAGCACAAAATAACATGACAGATATAAAATAAACTTCCGTTCAGCTGTTGGGCTACCAGCAAAACAATGGTGACATTTCATCAATGGTGACTTTTCAATACATAACAGCAATTCTCCAAGTAAAACCACATACTAAAGTGTTCACATGCCTGTAGGGCAGGACAGCATCATCAGAAAGTGCCAGTCAGACGAGCTAGAGGTTGCAATAGAATTTTATTTTCTCCCTTGATTCAATAGAATAAAACCATTAAAGGCAAAGTCATCTCTTTTTTTGCATATTTTGGTAGCACTTGGTTGCACTAATATATATATAACTATAATATTATCTAGTATCATTAATCCTGTTTAAATAATTATAGTTACCTCCATCAGCATGGCTTTGAACCTCTTCCTAATTTAAATGTCACTGTTTAACTGCCTAGCAGCTTTTTAGCAGTTATAGGGAGTTGTTGATGTCATTCAATAGGTTTTTATATGGATGTGATAAATTTCCCTTTGCTGAGCTAGCAGCATCGTTACCATGGTTACTTCAACACATAGTGGGGTTCCTCTGGTTATTTCTGTAATGATTTTTAAATGGGCACTGGGTGTTCCAAGCAGTTACTCCAGCTGTGTTCTAATTTTCCATGAATTATAATGTATAAAGGAAAGGTGTGCGGTAACAAGTCTATGTATGGTTAAACACATCCAGCTGTTTTTTTTTCTGTCGAAAGTGTAAAGATTTCTCCCGCCTGCCAACTTTTACAATGAAAGCCATGTACTCTTTTATGCATGAGGCATGGATTTCGACATCTGTCAGACATATTTGGTGGCAGCTCCTCTGTCTGCTTTAAGTTCAGTAAAAATGTAACTGGATTTTTTAAAGGTGTATTATCATCAGCAGCAAACTAAACTGATCATTATGATGCAAACATTGAACTCTGTGTCCTGCTGCCATTATAGTGCAGTTAGGAAATGGGTAAAACATTTCCTTATGCAAACAAATGCATCCAGTTTCTTCAACAGTAATTAATATTTACTGCTCCTTCGGTGAGATTATAAACTCTTGTGAAAGCCATTCAAATTACAATATTATTTTGGGAATCATCTTGGTCCTGGAACCAAAGCTTGATGTATCTTCCTCTTCTTCCTGCTACTAATCACAGGTTGAAGTTGGGTGGAGCTAAAATCTGCTTAATCAAAAGCTGATTGGCTGCAGCCTCTCTGCACTGACACATGATTGGTAGATACATACGTTTTCAGAAAGTGAAACTTACTGAGTCACTGTGTTTGAGATGAAAAATGGAGCAGGAGGCTGTTCAGCTGGACCGAGAAACCTTTTCTTGTTCTATCTGCCTGGATCTACTGAAGGATCCAGTGACTATTCCCTGTGGGCACAGTTTCTGTTTAAGCTGCATTAAAACACACTGGGATGAAGAGGATCAGAAAAGAATCTACTGCTGTCCTCAGTGCAGAGAGATCTTCACACAGAGGCTTGTTTTAAAGAAGAACACCATGCTAGCAGCTTTAGTAGAGCAGCTGAAGAAGACTGGACTCCAAGCTGCTCCTGCTGATCACTGCTTTGCTGGACCTGAAGATGTGGCCTGTGATTTCTGCACTGGAAGAAAACTGAAAGCCATCAAGTCCTGTTTAGTCTATCTGGCCTCTTACTGTGAGAAACACCTTCAGCCTCATTATGATTCAGCTACATTTAAGAAACACAAGCTGGTGGAGCCCTCCAAGAACCTCCAGGAGAACATCTGCTCTCAACATGATGAGGTGATGAAGATGTTCTGTCGTACTGATCAGAAGTGTATCTGTAGTATTTGTTTAATGGACAAACATAAAGGCCATGACACAGTGTCAGCTAAAGAAGAAAGGACTGAGAGGCAGAGAGAGCTGGAGGAGAGACGAGGAAAAATCCAGCAGAGAATCCAGGACAGAGAGAAAGATGTGAAGCTGCTTCAACAGGAGGTGGAGGCCATCAATCACTCTGCTGATAAAACAGTGGAGGACAGTGAGAAGATCTTCACTGAGCTGATCCGTCTCATCCAGAAAAGAAGCTCTGATGTGAAGCAGCAGATCAGATCCCAGCAGGAAACTGAAGTGAGTCGAGTCAAAGAGCTTCAGGAGAAGATGGAGCAGGAGATCACTGAGCTGAAGAAGAAAGAAGCTGAGCTGAAGCAGCTCTTAAACACAGAGGATCACAACCAGTTTCTCCACAGCTACCCCTCACTGTCAGCACTCAGTGAGTCTACACACTCATCCAGCATCAATATCCGTCCTCTGAGACACTTTGAGGATGTGACAGCAGCTGTGTCAGAGCTCAGAGATAAACTACAAGACATTATTCGAGACACATGGACAAACTTTTCACTGACAATCACTGAGGTGGAGGTTCTACTGTCAGAACCAGAACCAAAGAGCAGAGCTGGATTCTTAAAATATTTGTGTTTAATCACACTGGATCCAAACACAGCAAATATGTATCTATTGCTATCGCAGGGAAACAGGAAGGTGACATGGATGGGTCAACATCAGTCTTATTCTAGCCACTCAAAAAGATTTACTGGCTGTTCGCAGGTTCTAAGTAGAGAGAATCTGACTGGACGTTGTTACTGGGAGGTGGAGTGGAGAGGGACTGTAGTTTATGTAGCAGTTGCATACAAGGATATCAGCAGAGCAGGCAGTGGGATTGAAAGCAGGTTTGGATCTAATAACAAATCTTGGGTATTAGACTGTTCAAAAGCCAGCTCTAGATTTGGCCACAACAACATGTGGACCTCCATCTCAGGTCCTGTTTCCTCCAGGATAGGAGTGTACCTGGATCACTCTGCAGGTATTCTGTCCTTCTACAGCGTCTCTGAAACCATGACTCTCCTCCACAGAGTCCAGACCACATTCACTCAGCCGCTACATGCTGGACTTTTAGTTGGTTTTAACTGTGGAGACTTTGCAGAGTTCTGCAAACCCAAATAGATTTGTTTTGTCTTTTTTACTTATGGTATATCAAGGTTCCCAGGTTTTATATCTCGGTTTTGCCGTTTTGTTCTTTATTTTTCTATTTTATGTTACTCTGTCTGAACCCCTTATCTAGCCAACAAAATCTGTGATCCTATCTTAAAGGTATAGTGTGGAATTTTCGTGAATATTTGAAAAGACCCACCCTCTCCACTTTGAAAAAAAAAAAAGCACTTGCCCAACCCTGTACACGCTCCTGAGAGGGAACGCCTATTAAACGTGTGCGAGAGCATAAACAAGCCTATTTCTCCTCGTGCACGCTCTGTTTAAAAGTTGCCGTCTGAATAGCTAATACAAGCTTACTTTGCAAAAGATGTTTTTTCCACTATGTCAGACTCACGCCCTGTAAGTGAAAATGGGGATGAGCACGTAGGAAGGCCTTACATGAACATATCACCAGAATAATACCTTTAATATTAATGAAAAGTACTCAACCTTGATTTTAAAATCATTGTTAAAGTAAAACTCTAAATTAAAAAATATTTTATTCACTTTAAGGACCAATAAGTTGGTTGGTTTTTGTGCCACCACACATCATCATGAGATATTGATTTAATTCTCATAACAGTTGGACCTGATAACATGTGCATGTATTTGTATTTGTATCTGTAAATGGACTTAGACACTGAATACCAGCAGGATAGTCCTTCTAACAGCCTGTGTCAGTTGGTGCAAACCTCTTTATTGGTACTGATCTTTGATTTACTATTCAGAATGCTTGGTATCAGCAAGTACTTACCGTAAATAAAAATACTTGTACTCTTAATTGGAATGGATATCTGGAAATCTGGTATCACTGCATCCCAATTTATTCAGTTAAAGTGACATACTGTAACAGTGGGAACTTCTAGAGGGCAATAGTGTCATGATCTTGACCCTGATGACTGGTCTAATTACTCATTTCATTCACCTGCCTATCTCTGCTAAAGTCTCATTACTGTTCATCCGATCCACCTGCTCCAGCCTCTATTTAACCTGCCTTCTACCTGTCATCAGGGCCAGATTATTTTAGCCTTTGGTGAGAGTTCTCTAGCGTACCTGAGTTTTTCTGATTGTCTGATCCTGACCTAATGGATTTCTGCCAGTGCACCGAACCTGGAAATGATTCCTGTCACCGACCTGTAATTCGGAACCTCTTTGGACTTCTGATCTCCTGGTTCTGAATCCTGAGCACTTGCTCGACACCGGCTTTGGCTTCACCCTCTGGGTTATCCTGCCTTCCTTCGTTTGCTTGGTTCTGATCTCCAGCCCGTCTTCTTGGACTTCAGCATCTGGGACTCTCTGGGCGTCACCCGCTGCGTCTTGTTGGGTACTGACCGGCTGGAACCAACCTCATTCTCTGGGCATTGACTGAACTATAAGACCCCTGGTTTAGACGCCCTGGGAGACTTCCTGCCTTAGACGCTATCGCTGTTCTCTGCAGTTGCATCTAAAATAAATGTTTTGTCAAACCTAACTGTCTTTTTCACCTCAGATACCAGGTCCTTTTTTTCTGAGCCTGACAAAAAGCCCCTCGTTGGACCTATTTAGAACCTCCCATGTGTGTAATTGTTCTGCTTTAATATTTGTATTTGTATATTCTGGCTTTTCTTGCACTTTTATACAGAACTAATCTTTTTTTAATTGGTTGAGATAAAAGTAAACTGAACTTGCTTCAGTTATCTTTGTTGCAATCCAAAGGGAATAGTAATGAAACTAACTTCATCTTAGAACTATTGCTGTTTTCTTTCAAATCTGATCTTTCTTACCTTTGATTTAGATAAAAAAAAAAAAAAATATATATATATATATATATATATATATATATATATATATATATATATATATATATATATATATATATATATATATATATATATATATATATATATATATATATATGTCTATTGTTTTTCCTCCCTAGACCTTTTTCAATAAAACAATGCAGATATAGATAAATTTGGGAACAGGATTTTTATTGTTACATATACAGTGGTTTATATGGACTAAATGCAGAAACATTTGCTTCAGTGTCTCATGTGTTGCTGGAGAAGATCAGATGTTTGGTTTTACCTTCATTCATCCATAAGACACTCAGTTTCCAACACTACAATATATAGATTACAGAAACAAAGTACTTATTAAAGCAACTGATCAGTTAATCTGTCAGTAGAAACAAATATCAATTCAATTAGTGGTTTCAATACACAGATAAGAAAACTCCTCCTTTAATTAGCCCCACGGATTGCGGCAGCCTTTGTATTTCTGGCATATAAACTTATCCTAGTTTTAATGTAAAAGCAAAAGCAATCTAGTAACACATCTATACAACTTGATAACATTGTTTCTAGATTAGTCTTTTAGATCAGCTGCTCCTGTGATGAGCTGGAGGTCTTTGATACCTCAGATTGATAGACGGGAATCTGGATGTGGGTTTCTCCACATTCCTCCGCCACATGTCAAAGTTGTAAATCTATGTTAGAGTGTGTGTGTGTGAATAAATTTGTTTTACAGTGCTTTGCGTGGTTGGTATGGTGTAACATAAGCTTAGCCAAATTATATGCTGATCTGCAAGATGAAGAGGAATTTTAAGGCTGATCTTCCTGTGCTAAAAAGTTACTGTTGAGTACACAACCCAGCAAACTCAGCTGAAACACACAGAAACTGTGTTGCTTATCTGTTGCTGAGGTATCAGTTGCTAATGTTGCAGCTGTTCTGATGTGTTCAATGGTCCAGAAGATCCAGGATTCCAAAATAACCCGACAACAGCGTTTTACAGGACTTCAACATAGCAGTCAAAAACCTGTGTGTCCTTCTGGGTTTAAAACCTGCCTACTATCTGTTGTTGTCCCACTCATATTTCTGAGCCAGTAGCACTCCCTAGTGTTCAATTAAAACATGCAACACAAAAATGACAATAAATATCTGGTTGACTGTAGACGAAAAAAGAATGTCTAAGTCTTATTTAACAAGAAATTGAGATCTGGCATTTCTTCGTTCAAGTCAGCATTTATTAGTCCTTGTGTTGGAGAACATACATTCTCTTGTTCCTGCCTGTTCGGGTCACACAGGATTTCACTTACTACCTAAAGCATTCAAAAAGCTGTGAAGGTTTTTCCACTTATAGTTAATCAAAAACAAGTTACAGAAAGAAAACAATAAAATGTTGAATGAATAAGCCTTGAGAGGAAGGAGTCTGAACTGTGATGGGAAAAACCATCTTCTCTTCCATTAACTTCTGTTTAAGAGAACCCGTCTAACACAGACACTGTGTAGCCTTGCAGGCGTGAGACCTGAGTGAATACTTTTAGAAGGTAAGTAATAGATAGGAAATAGATTTTTCCAAATCACATTCACGTATTACTTACAGCACAATTATTACACACCATAACCAGACAGTTTAGAGATCAGTCTCTCGATAATGTTGGATTTAGTGTTGAATTTCAAAGATCTCATAAGGACAGGACTATCTATTACACTCCCAAACAAGGACTGGCAAAACTAATTAATCTATTTATATTACTTAGAAAACTTCACATTCATAGAAGTATATTCAATAAAATGAAACCCTCTTTATTCTCTTAGATACTAAAATAAAGAAATACATACAATCTGTAAACCGCATCAAAAAAACAAACTAAATCCAAAGTTATCATATACAATAAACAATACTTTGTTCCGAAGTCAGCTCCCGACATTGCTTGGTCTGAAGGGATCATTTTACGGGTGAGAGGCCACTTCCCCCTTGCTTTTATAACTATTGGGACACGCTAACCTTAAACATGAACGCGCAAAACCGAATGCTAGAGACCAAACCAGGTGAGAGAAATGGGACTAGGCCATAGAGTAGTATACTGCTTTCTTGCAACAGAGCATGAAAACAGTCATTATATGGAGACACTTTTTTTTACAGAATAGACCTACCCTTGCATTGTGTTGCGAAGACAGAAAGCTTGCTATCACTCCTGATGTGTAGCAGCAGACCTGTCCAAAGTCAAGCAGGTCAAGTTCTGAGATAGAAGATGATGTCTGATATACAGATGGAGGTGTTTCAGGACCAAGGAGAATGGGGGGGGTTCTGGCGGACAAGGGAGGGAGTTGGAGACATCATGGAAATAGTTAGGAGGCAAAAAACCTGTTCTTTACAAAGGATCTGTGTGCGATGAAAGGAAGTGAGCAAACGTACTGATATGGAATTAACTGTCCAAAGCAGAAAAGCCTTGGAGGGAGAAAAGAAACAAAGTGGGTAAGGTTCAAGAAGCAAAGCTTCAGAGTAAGAAACCAAGAGGGATATAGTTGCCACTAAGATTAACACTCAGGTGAGAAAATACCAGCTGCAGGCTCCTCTACTAGTCCTCTTAAAGGAATAGTACACCCAAAACATGATTAGCCTTCATTTTCTACTCACCCCCATGCTGAACAACACTCTGGAGTACTTTTTTGATATCTCAAATGCATCTGGAGATCTGGGAGGCTTCTTGCTGTCTGCTGACATTCAAATAATGGAGGTCTATGGTGCCCGAGGCAGAAAGGTCCATAAAAGTCCACAAAAAAGGTGTCAATATTCCTCCATACTGCTCGTCCAATGTATTCCAAGTGTCCTGAGTGGGTAGTGTCCATAATTTACTCGAAACCAAGTCATTCAGAATGTTTTTAGAGCATAAACAGTAGTGTATAGGATTTCCTAAAAGCTCAGCATGTTCAGCATGGGGGTGAGTAGAAAATGAAGGCTAATCATGTTTTGGGTGTACTATTCCTTTAATGGAGCTTGATGGAAACCCAGTAGTGAAGGACACCTGCAAGAACCGCCCAGCCAACAATGTCCCCATGGCACCATCTGAAGGTGAACTGAAGAACTGCAAACCCCCCCAGACACCCACAGTTATATTTCTTCTTCATATTTCATTTAGCAGGGAAATGACAAATAAAAAAGATTTCTCCACATTTCAGTCTTAAAAAATGAGCAAATGATGCACCATGAACTCGTTAATAAAAAAGTAAAAGCAGATCATTCACCCTGTTCTGTTGGAACACATTTACTTTAGCTCTGACACAAATGGGAAAACAAATATTTTAGGACAGGAGATGATTTATTGTCTTATTGATCAT